TCTTTCCCCGCCTCCATTCTGAACCGCTCCCTGTGTAACACTCTGCCACCTGGGCTCATAGCCCCGAGGGCCCAGCCAGAAGCTCCAAATAGCAGTGCACCTACTTTGCTGTGAATCTTCCTGAGGCTTTTGGTACCTGCCAACCCCTCCCCCGTCCCCACTGGAGGCAGCACTGTGTAAAGGAAGTCACAAAGCCCTGGGTTTGAGTTCTGACACCACTATCCATGTAATTATGATCACGTTACACAGACTCCTGTCTTATTACTAAGTAATCTCAGTTTTCTCATCTGCAAAATGGCAATAACAAGGCATTTAAGATTATTAGGAAGATTAAATGGGGCCATAACGTTTAGCTTCTCAGCCCTTGGTAGGTATAAAATGAAAATGTTAATAGAATTCTTTGTCCCTTTAGGGGCTAGCTGCCATAAAGTGACCCTGAGGACACAGGATGAAGGGCTAAAAAAAAGAGCAAAAGACACAGATGCAGCCCAGAGGGCACCAGAAAAGTGACACCTAATTCAATGTCTTCAGGGACTAAGGCTCCCTCTGCTCCAGTCTCTCCCTTACTCCATGTCGCCCTCCCTTCATTTCTTTCACCTTTTTGCACCCACCATCAGTTCACCACAAGGTGGTTCTCTTACACCTGACCCAATCATAAGAAGTGCCAGGTAGCCAGCTTCAAGCTGGCCCATGGTGACCCTGTGGCCCTAGGGCCATTGTTTATGGGCACAGCCTGTGACTCACCCCCGGCGCCCCTGGGAAGGTGGGGCGTGGAATCCCAGGCAGCCCCAGCTTGTTGTGAATGGCAGTGGCCGAGACGATCTGGGCTGACGACATGGCGGCCATGTGCTGAAGGGCCTTATCCTTGGCAGTCTGATCCTTGAAGGTGACAGCGACACACAGACTTAATACATAATGCATGGCTACCAGGCAGCTCACACAGGCACAGCCACGAGCACATGGACTAAAATACAGAGCCACAAAAGAGGCCGAAAAAGCAAACATGCATGGATAAATAAACACAGCCAGAAGGCTACAACACACTGAACCTACTGCAACTCGGAACATTTACTGAGAATGCCCAGTAGCAAGGTTTAAAAAAAAATTTTTGTTGTTGTTAATCTGTTTTCCAACAGAATGGGAAGCCTCTGAGAAGAGTGGACAATATATTTATTTTTCCAGCTTCCAAAGGGCGATTTCTCCAATTACTTAACACAGTCAAGTTAAAAAAGGTCCTTATTTTAAGCATATAGATGGGGCTGGTGTGGGGTGGTGGTAGTTGTGGATCTGGGGTAGGACCATCCAGAGCGTGGGGAGGCCCTGACTGTGTGCATGATCAAGGGGCCACAGTCCCAGGAGATGCTGGAGTTATGCGAGACCTGGACGCCCTGGCAGATGCCTGGTGGGGAGGCTCAGAAGCAGTGGGGCGGGCGGGGCGGTGGCTGACGGGCCAAGCAGCATGCTGGCAGGGCACATGCTCTCTGAAGTATCCCCGCCGTGAGTCAAAGGCTACATGGATTCCTTCTTTAGCTGAGGACACAGGGGATGCTACCAGGTAAGTAGTTTCTTGTTTTCCTAAATGGATCTTTTCTAGAAAAGCCAAGGCTGATAACACAAAGCTAGCCAAAAAGTCTGCCAAGCACAGCTAAAATACAGAATACTCAATTTGGTGAAAATACTTACCATGCTTGTCACCTGGATACAACAATAAACAATTTGTTAAAAGGATTGCGTACAAAGGCAGGGTTATTTTTCTTCTTCAGTTAAAAAATATATATGTATATAAACACACAATACTGGGTATAATAAAATGGGTAGGAGTATGGGTGGGTTTTTTCCCCCCCACATTTTAGGAGGAATGTATGACCCACATAACTATCTAGAAGGGCAATTACCAACAATTTCAACCATCAAAAACTACCTCCTACTCCTCCAAGCTGGTTCTGTGGCTTCTCCAGTAGAGATGGGAGAAATGGCCACAGCCCTGGTGGGGACAGGCCCCAGGGGGGCAGGCAGGGTTTCATGCTGGTTAAGCATGTCACGGTCCCTGGCTGCTAGTAGGAAGTCTATAAATCTACCTGGCCCCAGAATCCATGAAAGTGGGAACAAGATGGTGACATCAAAATAAAAAGAGCACCTTCCACAGCTGCCATTCAGAGTTTAGACAGTGAATAAAAGTCAAGGGAAGCTTTGGGTAAGACACTGAGTACCAGCAGAGAGGTGGCTTCACTGTTTACAGATTTACCCACAGGTGATGAATAAACATGCTGAGGTACCAAAGGCAAGGGCAAAAGGAGAAGTTAAAAAAAAAAAAAAAAAAAAAGACCTACAAGAAGGTACTAGGGGCTTCTAAGAAAAACCAATTAGGTGCTCCCAAAAGTGGTATAGACACCACTTTGCCCCATAACTGCCAGGAATACCATGTGAGTTTTCAAAAAATTTACATTAGCCCTTGAAAAAGAGCCTAACACTTGCATAAGTTTTTGTAATATTTTATCTATTTCTTTGACTTTTAACTGAAAAAATAATGAGCCCCATGGAACAGCTCTTCAAGGATGTACATAGCCACTGTGAACATCTGCACGGCCATGTGCTACAGCTGAATGAGACCGAGAGGGCCCTGCAAGCTTGCAGGGTTACTGGTCCCCAACAGAAGGACCACGGGTGACTAGAGGAGGCTTTTGCCACCTCTGGTCAGATATTCTTCTTCTTCAGGGTTGAAGTTACATTTGTTTATCTGCCGAATGCTCTCACCTAGAGCTAGTCACTTCTGGTAACTTTTTAAAAAACACCTGAAACATTTCAGATACTAAGATGTCCTTAAACAAGACAAATCTTGAAGTCTGTGGAATTTTATGATAAAATGACTGGGTGTGTGCAAATGCCCCAAAGCCAAACTGAGCCTAACACACACAGATCTCAGCACCAGTCAATCTACTCTTAGCTGGTCTTGTGGTCTCACCTGCTACCTACCCCATTATCCTTTCAGAGGGTCATCTAGGTATACCAAACAGAAAACATGGCTCCAGCCACGCTTACTCCCTTCTCTGTCAAGAGGACCTTTTATGTCAAGAATATAAATTCTTGGTTTCTCTTTGGAACAGTCACTTTGGGCTCCAGCTCCCAAACCCCATGGAACAACTCTTTGGGGATATACACGGTCACTGTGAACATCTGTATAGTCAATTCTGCTCGCCTAAATACAGAGAGCGTTTGTGTACACTTGGGTGGAGTAACTCACAAACTGAAACCCCAGGTCCAAGTGGAAATGAGTTCCCTGTATCTCCATAGCCCACTCTTACTCTATTAGAGTAGCTCGAGATGTTTCCCTTTGCTAGGCTCATTAAAAAGTTCCTCAGAATGTTCAGGAAAGTTCAATACTTCTTGTTTAACAGGGAAGTCAGTCAATGAGGAAAGGAGAAATGTCATTGGCTTTGCTGTTTATGTCATGCAGCTTCAGAACATGGTCTTTTTCTTTTGTTGAATAAAACGTTTGACTGTCTTATTACCCAGTATTCCATGAGGTACCTGAATGAAAACAAAAGTTCAGAAGCAGGAGAGCAAATCAAATGCTTCCATCACACCAACTTGCTCTGTGCCAGGAAAAGGCATCCTTGCAGAGGAGTCTGGAGACCTGTATCTGAATCTGCCTCTGCCTGACGTTAATGGCTTGCATTACCTTGGGCAAGTCATTTAACACTCTCCAATTTTCTACAAAATAAAGGTTTATTTTGATTTTCTGAAGTCCTTCTGTTTCTAAAGTTGTAGCTATGAGTGTGAGTTCTAGCATAAGCAAATAGATCTTAATACATATAGCCAAAAAACTGCTAGTGAAAAGACAGCAGAATGTTAAAATTTGGGTAGTGCTTAGCCACCTATTCTAATAGAGAGAAAGCCAAGTGTGGAGAGGAAATTGTATCTGAAGTAGAGGTTCTTTCTGCACTTGACCTACCTACTTGAGAATAGGCAATTTTCTGCAAATGGACTAAAATGTCTATACCAGTGATTTCCTACCTTTTGTAGTGGACACGCTCTGACTACTCATTTAATTTTATAACAGCTCTCCTTTATATATGATATACATTTAAAAATTAAAAGAATTACATTTTTTGTTGTTGTTGTTTAAAATCTAAAGTAACCCTGCAGATAATAAGCACCACCAGGGAGATCTCAAAATCAGAACTGAGAGCCTGGCCGTAGATCCACTTATCCTGAAATGGGAGTGAGGAAGGATGCCAAGCTGAGAGATTTCAATGGAGGGATCTGTAAATTGTCATTTTCAGCCCAGAGATACATGCCTGGCTTTGAAGAAATTATAACTATAAGTGTCAGACCTGAGTAAATTGCTTCTCTGTGTCACTCTAGTCTAATATCTGGGCTTTTAAACATTCCCCTCTATCCTCACCACTCATATCCTCAGACTAAAGAGGGAAGGCATATCACAAATCTACTCAAATACTGGAGCTTAAGTAAATTAAAAAATATATGTTACTTTTGTATACCATATTGATTTTACTCTAAAATGTCTTCATACTAAAATTTCTGAGATGTGGATGAGATTTACAAAGGATGAGCATACTGTTTTCTCTTGAAAAACTGTTTTAAGTCAATACTGAGTTACCATCGATGATGTCTTAGGTTACAGGAAACACTGAGTGTGTATGTGTACATATGAGCATGCACGAAAAGGACAGGACAAATGTATCCTAGGAAAAAGCTTGGACAACTTCACACTGACTCCTTATTACTGGTTTTAAGTCCATCTACCCCTGAGATTAGTAAGAAAAGGCAACTCTTCTTTTCCAACTGAACCCTAACTCAAGTCCATGACCTGAATTGTAAAAAATGTTTATAAAGCAGGCAACATGGGTCTAAGACTGTTGATAGATTGCTAAGAACAAATTCTGACCTGAGAATGAGGGCAGATGAACTTGAGGTGCATGTCTCAGTACCCACTAAGCTCTCCTCCCTGTCCAATTTCTGGCACACCAAGGCATCAATGGCCTCGCTGCCTTGGCCACATGGGGTCCAGAAGGATGTGTCATGCATAAACTCCTCAGCCCCAAGCCTTTCACAGTGTTATTGTTACTAAGTAAACAGACTTTCATATTTCATGAAGCAGAGCAAGGCTGCTGCTACAACTCTGGGTTCAGCTGACTGCCTCCTTTTACTGGTTGAAAGTACACAATGTTTGGGAAATGTCCACATGTAATATACATGACAGGAAGGCAGCCGCATCCCAAATGCACATAGCTGCAATGGTGTGCTCTTCAAAATCAAGGACATGCTATGAATCAGTTTCTGGATAGTTTCTTTCTATCAGTTTCTTTCTCTTTTGCTTCTCCAGCTTCTGATTATTCTGGGGGAATCAATTATGTCATAATTTGTAGGCATTAATCATAAACAAATAGTAAAGATAATGCACAAAGGTCACAGGCTTGCATGTACAATATTATAGTTGTCATAAATGGAATTTTAATGAACAGCCTACTAAACCAATATATTCCAAACAGTTTATTCAGGGGCCATCACTTCAGAATTTAAAGACTCCAATCTAATTTATTCAGATCGAAGTCTACCAATATATCAGGAAAAACACATAAAAAAAAGACCATGGATTCAAAAACCCTTGATAGCTATTAAATGTTTTTCCCCAAATATACTTTTTCCAGCAATATAAAAATATAGTGCAAGAGAGGAAAGACAGCAATTTGCTTGCAAAATCACTTTTGCAGAAAAAGATAAAACACAGAATACTTTCCTAAGAAGTAATTTTGCAGATGCTACTTCTAATCTTGCACTATGTGAATTCACATGACCTCTGCAATTATTAGCAGTAGCCCCTGAGCAGATAAACGTCACAAAACTCTATGAGGGTTTTGGAGAAAGGATGAAGGGCACTTGAATTCTTATAGCCATGACCTCCAATTTGCTTATTATTAGAGAAAGCAGGAGTAAATACAAAAGGGGGCTATTTCGGTCAGGCAACAGCTAATGCCGAGGAGAGAAGGCACATTCATACCTCCCCTGACTTGCCATGTAATGAGGAGCAATTAATTCATCTTATTGTATTTCCAAATGCCAAAGACTCCATTCACATCAAAGGAAAAATGTTTCAAGGCTTTTACTATTGTTCATTTTTAAATGTACTGAGCTATATTTAGTATTTTATAATTGTCAATAGTGTTTCCTTCCATTCTATGTGGGGTTGAGCATCACTAAGGATTGTAGCTGAGGATCCAAGTGATTTGTAGGTATGCCTGATGATTCTCCACCAGGAAGCCTGGGATTCAGATCAGCTAATGACAGGTCTGGGTGTTAGGGAGAAGGCACACTTCTGACCTTAGCCTCCTTTCCCTTCAGAGGTGACAGCAAGAGGCAGGGGGTAAATTTCCCCTGAAAAGCCAGAGGAACCCAAGCAGGTGGCAGGCTCAAGTTTAGCTCCAGGCTGAATAACAACTCCTGCCACTCACCTCTGCTTAATCCAAACATCCAGACACAATGAAAAATGGGCTCTGTTGAGGGGAGACAATGCAAAAGCATCTCAAACCAAGGGAAGGAACCCTCATCCTTGACCAATACTCTCTAGGGAGGCACCATGACATCATGCAAAGAGTCTGGGCTTTGGTGCTAGATAGCCCTTGAATCAGAATTGTGACCCTGGGCAAGTCAGCCATTCAGAGACTCTGTTTCTC